ATACATATACAATAACTCACCAATATTAATACATATACAATAACTGACCAACACTGATACTTATACGATAACTGTCCAACACCACAATATATATACAATAACTGACCAACATCAGTACAGATACAATAACTGACCAATATTAATACATATACGATAACTGTCCAACACCACAATATATATACAATAACTGACCAACATCAGTACATATACAATAACTGACCAAGTCCAATACATATACGATAACTGTCCAACACCACAATATATATACAATAACTGACCAACATCAGTACAGATACAATAACTGACGAAGTCCAATACATATACGATAACTGTCCAACACCACAATATATATACAATAGCTGAACAACATCAGTATATATACAATAACTGACCAACTCCAATACATATATGATAACAGACCAACACCACAATATATATATATATACAGGAACTGACCAATATCACTCTTTTTGTATACGAAAACTGACCAAATCAAATAAATACTCGAGAACTCGAGAACCGACCAACAATATATATATATATAGAAAAAATAAAATTAACGACCGACTAAAAAACTAGCTGCTTTCACCCTTCACAGGGCTCTTCAGGTTTATACTTATACGATAACTGTCCAACACCACAATATATATACAATATATGTTTTTCAACATCTTCAAAACCTGAAGAGCCCTGTGAAGGGTGAAAGCAGCTAGTTTTTTAGTCGGTCGTTAATTTTATTTTTTCTATATTTACTTCCTTCACATGAACATTTAATCACATTTTATTATATATATATATATATATATATATATATACGAGAACTGACAGACATCTACATTTATGCAAAAAAGAAGTGCCGAACATCAGTATTTATAAACAACAACTGACTTTCACAAGTATATATACGAGAACTGATGTGTAAAGTATATATACGATAACTGACTTTCACAAGTATATATACGAGAACTGTCCACCATTAGCATATATAAGTTATAAGGATACATTTTATATACATTGCCTCACAATTAAATAGGTCTTCTCAATCGTTACCGTAAACGCTTGATGTTTTGAAGGACACACGTAAATACTACAACGATCCTGCTCTGTCGTTGGATTCACATTCAAAATCTAAATCACATTTTTTCCCCAGACATTTAACATTCAGTGCAGAAATCAATACGTTGTTATTTAATAGTATTTCTAAATAACTGTAGATGCTATCGTCGGGCTGATCGACAACAGATATCAGCATTACTCTAAATATCTACGAGACTAGAATATGTGTTCGCTTGATTAATGATCGATAAAACTCTAGTGATAATACTATCGAAGCTATATAAGGACAGGTACTTTACTTATATTGACTAATCATAAAGATCTAGTTATGACCATATCGTGTCTTCACCTGTTCTGGCAGTAGACGACAACATATTCCGATAACTATTCTTGCATTAATAATTTAAATGTATTTAAACTGCCAACCAATCCTACCAGATGAATATCTTTCGTGTTTAAAAGCATATTGACTTTAAAAAAGTTATAATTATGCATGAACGCCAATGGTTTTTATGATGGATTTTCCATGTACATGAATGCATACTCAATCAATATACTTTCAAGGAATGAAATATTATTACAGATCATACTGTCTATTCTTTATCATAATTGGAGAGTATTAAAAGAAGCTAAGGGTTGTGGGAGTGGTGAGATAACCAATTGACACCGTTGTTACTTCTGTATAGAGACTTACTCGACCCAAACGTCGCAGGTACAAAGGAACACACAAGGCCTGAAAAAAGAAACAAAAGGGTTATTATAGCAGGGTAAAACAGCCTCGCGTTTCTAAACTTTATAACACATATATCATAGACATATCTTTATAACATATATTTCATAGACACACTGAAGAGACATTATCAAATTGTTTTCCGTTCGTGCCAAAGTAACGCCGTGTCGTACTGTTACTGATCAGGCGTGACACCGATTAAATCTCAATCAGCACAATACAGGGACTCGTCTTACAGCTGGGCAAGGCTGTCAAACCGTGTACAGACATTTAAAGGTCTTACACAGAGGGGAAATTACCTCTACTGTACACATTATCAATGCGAACAAATTCTTAATTGTTGTAGTTAAGTGTGATTCCAAGCACTTATGTGACATCTATTGATAGACTATAATCAAACACATGTAGTCCTTCAACAACTTCAATACATACTAATAAGTAAACTTCTGAACAGTAACGGGGGACATAAAAAAAAAGCTCTCTGAACGACAATTTATGTGTGAGATTCACGATGTGTTTCTGTTGTTTTGACGTCACCCCGGTTTCTATTATATTGTGTTTTCCCTATAGAATTCCCATGTCGTTATGTATTGATAATTTAATTTGTGTGTGTTTTCTTCATTATACTTCAAACACTAGCTTATTATATTCTAAGTTATATCATATTCAAACTTTGTTTATAATACATCTTAATTTTCATAAACCTAACACTCTTTTACATACAAGATTATGTCATCTTACGCGATTCATAATAAGTATGAAAAACAGAACGACAACTATTCAGCTTTACTCTGTGTCATTGTCAACATTGGTATCAAGTCATAAACACGTTATGTGAGTAAAAGACTACTTCGTCAGATTAATACATGGTTTGTGCAGGTGGACTTTCGATTAGGTGTTTACGTTTACAAATATGAAGTTTCGTCCACCTCATGTGATTGTATGTTTCAATAAGTTGAAGACAAACATCCTTTCCTCAATAGCCGCAGAGATAGTCATCTGATAAAGTTTCAAGAATCCCTGTGACAGAACGTCGGTAGCTATACTTAACTAAGTCTGTGGAATATAGTGTCTACCTAAACAGAAGTGAAACCAGCTTGTCACAGAAGGAAAGCGTTTCTGTATACAAATACAACTTCTTATAATGAATATTTCACATTTCTATCTACGAAAAAGATGCGCCGAGTTAGTAACGGCTAGCTAGGTCTCCTAAGGAAACACAAACGACTGTCACAAGGACACCAGACAGACAGACCCATCGGAGAACATATTGAAACGTTTACAATAAAACAGTACATACATACTCTGTCAGTATTTTATTAAAGTAAAATTAAAAAAAATACATATCCCAGTGCCAAAACAAAAAATGGCAAAATCGGAACTTACAATAATCACTAAATATATGAAGTAGGGAGGTACCATTTAAGAGTTTTGAGAGTCGATCGCAGGAAGTCACACAATGGAAACACTTAACTGCATTGTAAGACCATTTCGTCCATTAAGTACTCAATGCTGATGCTAAACGTTAAGTATTGCAAATCTACGTTAAAAGTGTTGATGTTAAACCGAGGCAGACTTAATTTCAGCTGCAAGGTAACGGTAAAACTCAAAGTACATACAACAAGACAAAATTACAATGTTTGGTATGTCCAGAAGGTGCAACAAAATCAATAACACAGTAAAACGAGGAAACTGTTTCAGTCCAATACCTAGGCAATAACTTACTGGCTTCGGTATTTCAGTCCAATATCTAGGCAATAACTTATTGGCTTCGGTATTTCAGTCCAATACATAGGCAATAACTTACTGGCTTCGGTATTTCAGTCCAATACCTAGGCAATAACTTACTGGCTTCGGTATTTCAGTCCAATACCTAGGCAATAACTTACTGGCTTCGGTATTTCAGTCCAATACCTAGGCAATACATTATGGCTTCGGTATTTCAGTCCAATACCTAGGCAATAACTTATTGGCTTCGGTATTTCAGTCCAATACCTAGGCAATAACTTACTGGCTTCGGTATTTCAGTCCAATACCTAGGCAATAACTTACTGGCTTCGGTATTTCAGTCCAATACCTAGGCAATAACTTACTGGCTTCGGTATTTCAGTCCAATACCTAGGCAATAACTTACTGGCTTCGGTATTTCAGTCCAATACCTAGGCAATAACTTACTGGCTTCGGTATTTCAGTCCAATACCTAGGCAATAACTTACTGGCTTCGGTATTTCAGTCCAATACCTAGGCAATAACTTACTGGCTTCGGTATTTCAGTCCAATACCTAGGCAATAACTTACTGGCTTCGGTATTTCAGTCCAATACCTAGGCAATAACTTACTGGCTTCGGTATTTCAGTCCAATACCTAGGCAATAACTTACTGGCTTCGGTATTTCAGTCCAATACCTAGGCAATAACTTACTGGCTTCGGTATTTCAGTCCAATACCTAGGCAATAACTTACTGGCTTCGGTATTTCAGTCCAATACCTAGGCAATAACTTACTGGCTTCGGTATTTCAGTCCAATACCTAGGCAATAACTTACTGGCTTCGGTATTTCAGTCCAATACCTAGGCAATAACTTACTGGCTTCGGTATTTCAGTCCAATACCTAGGCAATAACTTACTGGCTTCGGTATTTCAGTCCAATACCTAGGCAATAACTTACTGGCTTCGGTATTTCAGTCCAATACCTAGGCAATAACTTACTGGCTTCGGTATTTCAGTCCAATACCTAGGCAATAACTTACTGGCTTCGGTATTTCAGTCCAATACCTAGGCAATAACTTACTGGCTTCGGTATTTCAGTCCAATACCTAGGCAATAACTTACTGGCTTCGGTATTTCAGTCCAATACCTAGGCAATAACTTACTGGCTTCGGTATTTCAGTCCAATACCTAGGCAATAACTTACTGGCTTCGGTATTTCAGTCCAATACCTAGGCAATAACTTACTGGCTTCGGTATTTCAGTCCAATACCTAGGCAATAACTTACTGGCTTCGGTATTTCAGTCCAATACCTAGGCAATAACTTACTGGCTTCGGTATTTCAGTCCAATACCTAGGCAATAACTTACTGGCTTCGGTATTTCAGTCCAATACCTAGGCAATAACTTACTGGCTTCGGTATTTCAGTCCAATACCTAGGCAATAACTTATTGGCTTCGGTATTTCAGTCCAATACATAGGCAATAACTTACTGGCTTCGGTATTTCAGTCCAATACCGAAGCCAGTAAGTTAATGCCTAAGTATTGGACTGACAACACAACCATAAGTAAGGTCACGTCCTCACAGCGAGAACTCGGGAAGGGACAACAAAACCACAAGTAAGGTCACGTCCTCACAGCGAGAGCTCTGGGAATGACAACAAAACCACAAGTAAGGTCACGTCCTCACAGCGACAGCTCTCGCAGTGACAACAAAACCACAAGTAAGGTCACGTCCTCACAGCGAGAGCTCTGGTAATGACAACAGGCAATAACTTACTGGCTTCGGTATTCAGTCCAATACTCAGGCAATAACTTACTGGCTTCGGTATTTCAGTCCAATATCTGGGCAATACCTTGCTGGCTTCGGTATTTCAGTCCAATAACTAGGCAATAACTTACTGGCTTCGGTATTCAGTCCAATACCTAGGCATTAACTTACTGGCTTCGGTATTTCAGTCCAATATCTAGGAAATAACTTACTGGCTTCGGTATTTCAGTCCAATGCCTAGGCAATAACTTACTGGCTTCGGTATTTCAGTCCAATACCTAGGCAATAACTTGCTGGCTTCGGTATTTCAGGCCAATACCTAGGCAATAACTTACTGGCTTCGGTATTCAGTCCAATACCTAGGCATTAACTTACTGGCTTCGGAATTGGACTGAAATACCGAAGCCAGCAAGGGATTGCCTAGATATTGGACTGAAATACCTAAGCCAGTAAGTTAATGCCTAAGTATTGGACTGAATACCGAAGCCATGAAGTTATTGCCTAGGTATTGGACTGAAATCCGAAAGCCATAATGTATTGCCTAGGTATTGGACTGAAATACCGAAGTCAATAAGTTATTGCCTAGGTATTGGACTGAAATCCGAAAGCCATAATGTATTGCCTAGGTATTGGACTGAAATACCGAAGGGTAGGGACAACAAAACCACAAGTAAGGTCACGTCCTCACAGCGAGAACTCGGGAAGGGACAACAAAACCACAAGTAAGGTCACGTCCTCACAGCGAGAGCTCTGGTAATGACAACAGGCAATAACTTACTGGCTTCGGTATTTCATTCCAATACCTAGGCAATAACTTACTGGCTTCGGTATTCAGTCCAATACTTAGGCATTAACTTACTGGCTTCGGTATTTCAGTCCAATATCTAGGCAATACCTTGCTGGCTTCGGTATTTCAGTCCAATATCTAGGCAATAACTTACTGGCTTCGGTATTTCAGTCCAATACCTAGGCATTAACTTACTGGCTTCGGTATTTCAGTCCAATACCTAGGCAATAACTTACTGGCTTCGGTATTTCAGTCCAATACCTAGGCAATAACTTACTGGCTTCGGTATTTCAGTCCAATACCTAGGCAATAACTTGCTGGCTTCGGTAAGAAATAGAAGGTAGAATCTAATCGGTATTTGTAATTGACTGTCGTTTTGTTGTTACGTTAAGGTAAGTTCCATGTTGAACGCCTCTGAAGCGTTACACCAAACTTTGATTCAGCAGTCGTGTGCGTTATAAACCTGTATAATATTAGTGGGAAACCAGTTTATTTTGTCTACAAGTGTTATGGTCCCCATAAGAATCTTTGCAGGGAAATATGCTTTTTCTCTGTGTGATACGTTGGTCCTTGTTTCTGATTCTGCTCATCAGAGTGACTTGTGGTTTTGTTGTCATTACCAGAGCTCTCGCTGTGAGGTCGTGACATTACTTGTGGTTTTGTTGTCACTGCCAGAGCTCTCGCTGTGAGGACGTGACCTTACTTGTGGTTTTGTTGTCCCTACCCGAGTTCTCGCTG